ATAACAAGACATAGTAACACCATGTATCACTTGATATGATGCATTGAAAAGAGCTTACAACCGCTGTGGTATTCTTCCCCCAAAATGCATAACCTCAAACTCATCATGAGATAACATAAGACAATCCGAAATTAAGAGACAATCTATAAAGTAACTGACCAGTACTCTTCAAAAATCTCAAGGTAATGAAAGACAAGGAAAGATGGAGGTGACTTAGGAAATATGACAACTAAATGCAATGTGGGATCCTGGTCTGGATCTTGGAACAAAAAAATGGGCATTATTGAAACAACTGGGAAAATCCAAATAAAGTATATAGTTTTATTAATAGCACTGTACTTATGTTAGTCTTTCAGTTTTAATAATTGTACTATGGCTAGAGAAAGCATGTGAAGTAATGGGAACTCTGTAGTATGTCACAACTCTTCTCTAAGTCTCAAATTATCTCATAATAAAAACATTTAAAAATTCAAATAGTAGAAATAGTTCAAAACAACAACAAAAAAGAAATGAAAATGATGAGATGTTCAGATCCAGACAACGCAAAGATAAGCAACAAAAATTCCAGAGAAAGAGAAAGGAATATATGGAAAGATTGAGAAAAGACTTAGTTCTTCATTGAGTTGAAAGAAAGATTAATACATATCTAACTTTATTGTAGTAATGTTCCTAACTCCAAATGATAAGTTACTGGACAGAAATAACAAGTTATTTATGGGCAGAAATAAGAAGTTATTTACAAATATTTACAAAGGAAAGCAAGTCAGAGTAGCATTAGACTCATTGGTAATATTGAAAGCTAGAAGACAATGGAACAAATCTATGGATAATTGAGAAAAATATGGGGTGTGGAGGGAAGAGTCACCCTAACAAGAGACTATAGCTGTCAAGGAAGAAGAACTTAAGTCTATACTGTTGTAAGATATAAATGGCTCTGGATTTTACTCAGCAAGAAACCCCTACCTAGCTGTTTCAAATGGACTAAAGCCAAGAATTATAAAAACTGTGGTATTTCTTGATTTTTAACACAAATCCATGTTTTTAAGCATTTTTTCATCATAATGATAAAAAATACAAAAGATTTCTAAGGACATGCTGATTACATTTCAGCTCGTTTTGGGGAAAAAAGAAACTTAATTGGTGGTGGTAATTATGAAACAGAGGAGAAAAGACTGAAATCCTGGGGCTTCCAAAAGTAATCAAATAATGCATTGGATACCAGCTCAGGCTGGACAGAGAGTCCTCTGAACTCAGCAAACTATGGTTCTATGACTAGAGAATGATGCAACATCTAAGGAGCTGCCAAGGGTCCTACAGTGTTAAGTTCTTGTTAAGACTTAGCTTGTGGGAAAGGGATACATTTTTTGGTCAGGCTAGTAATTTCCATGTAGTTTCAGATTGTGGACACACAAGTGGAAAAAATTATTTAAAATCTATTTAAGGGTAGAAACAATATCTTTTGCTGTGCATGACGTAAAACATATTTGCTTATTTGTTGTATCAAACCAAACCAAACACACTGCCATCAAGCTGATCTGCTGTATAGTGTCATGAAATTCTGCAGTACATTACTGAAAAAATCCAAGCCTTGGGCTATTTTCCTAATTCCCATATTGTATGCATTCCATGGCAATTTGTATAATTCATTTATCTTCAAATTATTCCAAATGCACATTGTTTGATCCCACAGAGTATTAACTTATGATCTCCTAATATACCATAAATGTGTTTGTCTGTCATAATCATGGGCAAAAGTATCAGATGCCTAAATTTATGAAAATGTTGCTATATAAAACAATACATACAAGTAAACTTTTAAAATACTTACTTATACATTTTTCAATATTAGTCACCATATTTTGAATTTTTATTGAAAACGTCAATCTGTTGGGAACTATAAAGAGATTTGTAGGGAACTCTGAAATTCTGAGAGAAAACAATACAAGTGTGTTTCAGATGACTGTAATAATTAACATATAAAAAACAATTACTTGTAATTTCACAAATGTCTAATACTTACTCTTCATACGTGCATATATTCTCAGACTCAGTTGCAATTTCCATGTCTATTAGAATCCATTGAAAGAAAGAGAGAAAAAAAAAACTGATTGATATCTATATTAGCAAAATGAAAAGTTGATAAATGTCAGTGCTTTCCAAATACCATAAGAATAAACTGGAAAGGTCATGTGAAAGGCAGTATTCAAGCAGTAAACCCCATCCTGAGATTCTGATTAAGGAGGTCTGAGATGGAGTCCAAGAGTCTGCGTTTTTAACAGGTATCCCAGCTGCTATTCATCCTGATGAAGGGAGTCTTCAGGCCCCTTCAGTGAGAAATTGTATGTGGATTGAAATGAAAATGAATAATGGTGTTATCAGTTACATGTACCACAAATAACCTGTGATTAGGTTTATGCTCACTTGAGCACTGTTTATCTTAAAACTTTTTAAAATCTTATACCTATAAATCAATAATATACAAACTATTAAAAATTCCCCTCACTTGTTTCCGACTGTTAAGGTATTTTCCTCCATTCTTAATAGTCTTACTCATCTTACCTAAGAGACGTCCTTCAAGGTTGTAACTAAATGTTTTTGTTTTATCGACTTTTGCAGGCAGTTCCTCACTATCATTATCTGATGTTTCATCTTCAAAATACACCACAGATTTCCTAGGGTGCTTGTCAGATTCATAAATGTTCTCCTCAGAATCTTCTGGAGCATAACTCTCAGCAGGAATTCTCAAACGTAGATGTACTTCAAATATTGGTGCATATATTTTTCTTAAATCTGTCTCCACTTTAACACTATTCAAAATCTAATGTGACAGATATGTTGGGGTATCAGTGACACCATAAGGCTAACAGAGCATTTCTTTTTAATTTAGGATAATACAGACCTAAATTTTAAATGATAAATCATAACTCCAGTATAATTGAATACCACTGTATTACCATATACATGATACTTCTGTGTTAAAATGAATAAATTAATATAGAATAAACAGTATAGAGTTCCCCCAAAAAGACTTTATAAATTGATGCCAGAGTGACCCCATAATAATCAGTGGAAAGTTTGTTAAAATATAAATTTCCAGGCCCTATCCTCAGAAATTTTAAGTTAAAAAGTTAGGGGCGGAGCTCAGGAATCTCAAACATTTAAAACCTGAACAGATGAATCTACTGTGTACCCAGGTGTAAGAACTACAAATCAAGAATACATTTCAAATCCATTAACATTAAGTCCTAGTTCTTCACCTTAACATACATATACTAGCATAGGTATCCCCACTGAAAAATAACAGGAGTATTTAAGGTATCAATAGGTTATTTACACGATGTAATTGCTCTTAGGTTCTGTCTAGGCTTGGGTTCTCAATTAAGCTATTGATGCCTCATATCCCATAAATAATCTGTTATGCTTGAGGCATCTATTGCATAATTACCAGTATGTGTTTCTCAGGGCTGTCATCTGAACCACCTGCTAGAACTCTAGCTTTTAGTTCCATTCATTAACAAATAAAGGTAATTAACAGTACAAATAAGCCCCAATAGCAGGCTTTTAGGATCCTTGGTGGCACAGTGGTTAAGCACTCAGCTGCTAAACAAAAGGTCAGCAGTTTGAACAGACCAGCAGCTCCGCGGGAGAAAGATGTGACAGTCTGCTTCCGTAAAGATTTACGGCCTTGGAAACCCTGTGGACAATTCTACTCTGTCGTGTAGGGCCGCTATGAGTCGGAATCAACTAGACAGCAGTGGTGGGAGGAAGTCTTTAAGCTGCTGGGGAAGAGCATAAGTAGATGCCAAAGGCAATTTGGAAGTCTTAAAAGTTCAGACAGACAACACCTAACAAATATATAATCTGCTACTTAGCTTATACAGGAAAATAACCCCTATTTAATTCTGGAATGAATGGACTTCAAGCCCCATATACTTTCTAACATCATAGTTCATGAATATTTTGCATAGACTCATTCTTGAAATATAATTGTAGTTACTACTGAATGCATACTTATCATGTCTTAGGTACTGTATTAAACATATTACCTTCATTCTCATTGTCATAATGATCCTGGGAGACAGAAATCATTACTCCCCTTGTACATACAAAGAAACTGAGAGTCAGGAGACGTATATTAATTTGTCAGAGTCTGTACTGCTAGCAAGAGGTAGTGCCGAAGTGGAACCATGGGCCTGTGACTGCAGGCTTGAAGATCTTTTTGCAATAAAGGAATGTTTTTTGGTTTTTATGCTTTCTGTACCAACATGAATGGACCAGGAAATAGTTTTATTTCCTCTAGATTATAAACTACAAGAAAGAAATAGTCCTATCTAAATGAAGCTATAAATCCTACAGCATACAGTGGGGAAGGGAGTGGAGGAATCAGCACCAATGATTCCCAAATCCACAACTTTAGCCCTGGTCTCTCTTTTGAAACTCAGATCTATATTTCCAACATCCAAGGAGAAATTTTCATTAAGTTGCCCACCTCTGACTTCAACACGTCTCCAAATAAACAAAATACGTCTTATCCTGGGCTGGATATAAAGGAATCCCGAAAGTTCAGCACAGGCTAAAATGGACTAAATCAATGTCAGATACTAGAGGGCAAAGTATGAGTGTTGTTGTTGTTTTAGTGCCACTGAGTCGGTTCTAACTCATAGCACCCCTATGTACAACCGAAGGAAATACCGGCCGGTCCTGCGCCCTCCTCACAATTGTTGTTATGCTTGAGCCCATTGTTGCAGCATGAGTACCATGAACTAAGAGCATGCTCAATTCAACTATCCATACCTAATGGCCTCAAAAGTAAAATAAATAATAAGAGAATAGGAATAATATAATTATTTAGTACCTGATGAAGATATATTTTAATCAGTTAGAAAAGGATAGATTATTCAATAAAATATGTTAATACATTTGGTGAAAAATTAATTTAGCTCTCTGTCTCATAATATACATACAAAAATAAATATAATTATTTAGATGTTAAAAATAAAACTATAAAATTATGAAAAAATGAATATGTTATTTTGGTATGGGATTTTTTTTCTAAATATGATACAAAAGGAAGAAACTATAAGGAAAACAGCTGATAGATTTTTATTACACTAAAAAATCTTTCTTCATATCAGAAATACTATTAACAAAATGAAAAAAACAAATGACACACTAGATTTCTATTTTCAATATATGACAAATGGTTACGATCTGTATTTTGTAAATTGTTTTTATAATTCAATAAGAAAAAAACTCCATCAGAAAAATGAGAAAAGCACATAAAAAGGCCATAAAAATTAGAAATACAAATGACTAATACAAATGATTAACAAGCATAAGAAAAATATTCAATATCTTGAGTAATCATATAAGTAAAAAATAAAACTAATTAATTTCAAGTTTCAGCTATCAAGTGAGAAATAGCCAGTACAAAAAAGGATGAACTCAAAAAGGAACTCCTAATGAGAATATAAATTAGTATGACCTTCTCTAGAGAAAAATTCTGCAATGCGTTTATCAATAGCCTTAAAAAGGTCTATACCAGTTGCCATCGAGTTGAATCTGATTCATAGCAACCCTATGTGTGTCAGAGTAGGACTGTGCTCCATTGGGTTTTCAGTGGCTGGTTTTTTGGAAGTAGATTGGCAGGGAGGCGCCCCTGGGTGGTATAAATGGTTAAGCGCTGAACTACTAGCCTAAAGGTTGGTGGTTCAAACTCAACCAGAGGTGGCTTGGGAATCAGGCCTGATGATCTGCTTCTGATAGCTCACAGCCAAGAAAACCCTATGGAGCAGTTCTGTTATGCACCCATGGGGTCGCCATGAGTTGGAATCAATCGATGGTAACTAATAACAACAACAGATTGGCAGACCTTTCTTCCGAGGTGCCTCTGGGTAAACTCAAGCCTCCAACCTTTTGTTAACAGCCATGCATGTTAACCCTCTGCACCACCCAGAGACTCCAAAAAAGGTCCACAGTGTTGATTTAATGTTAATACTAAGGAAACAATTAAGAAGGTTGCATAAATGTTTATCTTGAAATATTTCTATCACAAAGTGTTCATAAAAGAACTAGTAGAAGCAACTAAAATAAAGATTCCTTCAGAGCACGGGCTGGGGATATGAAGCACTGAGATAAATCTAATAAAAAATATGCAATATCTTCATGAAAAAATTATAAAAGACATTAAAGAAGACTTAAATAAATAACACAATCATGGCAGGAAGATTCAATTCAAAAAATATTAATTCTCCTTCCAATTTTCTATGGATTCTAAGCAATGTCAATCAAAATCCAAATAGAGTTAGGATTCTAAAATTTATACTGAAGAGCAAATGGCTGAGAATAGGCAAGACACTCTTAGAAAGAAGAAAAAGGGGGACTTGCCCTACCGTATATGAAGACTTATTTCAAAGCTATAGAATTACTCCAGTATGGGATTGGCACAGTAATAAGTAAGGGACAGTAATAAGCAAACACACCAGTAGAATAGCACGGAGTCCAGAAACAGAACCCACACATACATGGAAGTATATGGTAAAAACGATAAATAATAGAGCTGCCAATGCGGATCAGCAGGGAAAGGATGACCTAGCAAATAAACTGTGCTGTGACAATGACTACTCATATGAAAATAAATGAAAATGGATCCTTACTACTATGGGTTGAATGGTGTCCCTGAAAAATAAGATCCCTGGTGGCATAGTGGTTAAGAGTTCAGCTGCTAACCAAAAGGTCTGGCAGTTTGAATCCACCAGCCACTCC